TTGTGCTTTAGGTGAAATTGAAATGTGCACTATGTGAAACTGAAATCTGCATAATAAAAGGTACGATATGATGTTATATTTGTACCTTTTATTCCGCACATTTCAGTTTCATCTAATGCACACTTGAATTTAAATTTTTTTTCTACAGATTTCAATATCATCTTATGCACATTTCAGTTTCACTGAATGCACAATCCAATTCCACATAATACAATCCAACGGTCTAGATTCATTCTCATTTCTCTCCTGGGAGTTCGTTCTTACCGGGACCGCTCCCTATATATGTACATATGTGTGTGTGTGTATAATTGACTTTTGAGACCACTACAATTTCTATGCAGGTGACTTTATGGAATCTAGATGCATTTGTGTTCTCCAAATCTAATAGAAAATGAAACAAAAAATGATCTAGTCTTACAAAAGATGTGTGAACCTTTACAAGTCTTCGTTGGATGAACCACGTGCTCTAATGAGCAATGTCGTTAGATGATCGCTTCGTTGGATGAAGCCAACAAATGTCTCTGATTAAGATCACTCACTAGTTTTTTGGTGTCCTTGGTTAAATTTACATCTATTTTAGCTTTTATCAGTTTTGAAGACAAGTTTACTCGTTATAATTTTTTGGGGATTTTACAAGAATATTACTAAAATAAAACTTACTTACATAAATATGACTATTCATTACTACAATGTAGTGTTGTGGTAACTTAAGTTCAAAACTTGAACATGAATTACTATGATTTCGTTACTACTATAGTAACTAGTCATACTTTTGTAAATCATCTTTATTTTGATCATATTTGTGTAATTATTTCTATTTGTTTTGTTTTGAAATGATGGTTTCTTTATTTTATTGATACATTGTATCTTCATTCTTAAATATATTTATTTTAGAGTAAACTTAGTCATTGCAACCAAATTTTAATAATTAGGGTGTATTAGTAAATACATGATTGACTTTTGAGACCACTACAACTTCTATGTAGGTGATTTTATGGAATCTAGATACATTTGCATTCCCCGAATCCAATACACAATGAAACAAAAAATGATCTAGTCCTAGAAAGGATGTGTGAACCTTACAAGTCCTCTCGATGATCCACTTTATCGCTCTTGTCAACCTCATAATGTCTGAGTGGGTGCCCACCCATGTTTTGATCTCCCTCCACATATGTTTTGATCTCAAATAAATTGTCATTACCAACGGTAATCTATACCACCAGATAATTATAGTTGGTATAGGATAATTATACCTATAATTAATCTTTTTTGTTGCTAATTACAATATAATTACTTACGATGTAGTAAGGTCATTCGTAAATGTTACGCATTTCCTACACTAAAAATGAATCAGTTGGTATAGCGATCCACTATACCAACACATATATATATAACTAAAATTGTAACTAAAAATTTGGCCAATCCTCCAAATTTTCCAGCTCAACCATCCAGCTATTTGCACTGTAAGATTGTAAAATTAGACCTAGGCATTCGATCCGTACCTTCTTTTTCCTGTTGACCCGTGATCGGGCTAAATTTGCAAGTATACAAGTGCCGATATAGTAACAATATACTGGTAAATACCGGGTCGATCCACAGGGAAATGGTTGATATTATAAAGTCGAGTATTGAATGCAAAGAATGTAAATGGTATAGTTTTTCAGGAACTTTGTTCTTTGAGGTTGATTTAAACAAGAATGAGAATTACTAAGGCAATCGGGATTCACCTAAATGCTTTAATAGTTATTTAATAATAGTTTTTCCCAAGAATCATGAATACGATGTCGCTAATATATTCTCAACTTCGGTTAAGGCAGCGAGAGCGTGGATTTCGTTACGTGTAAGTCCCGTTACGGCTTACATTCATCTACCGAAAACCCTGTTGAATATCAAGACATCACACTCGTATCATATAAGACCGGATATATTTCTATTCTCGGTACTATATATGTTTATCCTTTAATGTTCATAGTTTAGACTTCAACGTTAATTGCAAGCATAAACTAAATTTAACATACTTCTATGTTGTACACCATAGTCATAAACAATCAAAATAAAAAGGATAAATCACAATTTATTGGTTTAGAACTTTTATCAAACACCTAGTGTGCATAGAGGTTCATCCCTAGCCTCTTAGCTAAGAAATTAGCCTCTAATGCTCATATTAATCAACATACAATATTGAAATGTAATGGAACATGAAATTAAAAAGGAAATAATACCTAAATACCAATGATTTCGGAGGTTGAAGTTTCCTCCTCAAGAACTTGAAGAAAAAGAGCAAGAACAAATTATAAAGACTAAGAATTAATCTATGGAATGGAATGTGTTTGCTTGATGAATTGGGGGCTTTATATAGGCTAAAGAATGGCATCTTTTAGTCTATTCAAGCCCAACAATCAGGTATGGAGCAATATTTGATCAAGAAATGAGGAAGATGAACTTTTCCCATAAAAAATCCTCTTGCACGTTGGCCTGTTTTGTGCAGAAATCGCCCAAACCGGCGCCGGTTATGTCCCGACCGGCGCCGGTTCAAAACAGGCTCATTTTGAGCGAAAAACACCTTCCGACCGGCGCCGGTTCTTTTCTGACCGGCGCCGGTTGTTGAGCCCAAAAATGCGCTTCCTTTCTCTTCTTCTGAAATGAATAAAAAAATGTCGGTTTTTGTCCCGAGATTTTGGGGATGTTCCGCTACGAATATGGACATGATTCCTTCAACAAAGTTGTAGATAATGAAGTATTCTATCTACCAAAACTTGAATGACGTGATTTTATTTATCCAATCAAAAGATATGAATAAAACACTGAGAGGTATGCATCCTGAAATCCCACCAGCAACATCTGACTTTGTTGGTTGATTGAGTCTTGTTCCTTTCATATTTTGGCCATGACGTCTTCATAACATTTGTACCTTATTGAGTTAGCATTCACATGAAACTCGAATCGAGTGATTTCGAGTTCTATAGAATAAGTTATACTCAAATTATGGGCAGAACGTCATTATCTTGGTCCAAAAAGTCCTTCATCGCAATGTTTTATGCTCTAGCTCTCATTCAGGAGGTATTTGCCCGATTTCTCTTCTTTTCTTCAACAAATACTTATAAATACTTATGTTAAACACAAGTAAATATAACGGCTATCAACCCGAAAATCCCCTCAACTTCATACTCTCTCCCCAAATCAAATGGCTTTATAAGCTCTCCCTTTCATAGAAACAAAGGTTGCATAGGAATTGGGAGAAATAATAGAGGAAGACGAGTTGCAGAAGAAAAGGGGATTGTCGTCCGTGGTGAACATGACGCGCTGCTGCTCAGCCTCTCATCTCCACCCATCGCACAAACCAAATCACTCTCAATTCCTCACATAAACAAATCACTCATCGGGCTCAAATCTCACCCCATCTTTTCATCGGTCTTTGATGGAAAATCCTCAGTCCAGAATTCCTTCGCTTTCATCAGAGTTATATTCCATCTTAATTCTGGCTGGATGTATCTTTATCAGTTCTGGTTTTTCAATGAGATCACAAAGTGTGCCGAAATTCGTTGATAGGGATTTCGTTCCTCTCTCTAGAACACGGTTACTGGAACACATTGAATGATAAGGTTTTTGTTCCTCTCATATTTTCTATTTCAATTGGTTGGCCATAGATTTTATGCTTGTATCTTTCTTTCATTTTTTCTCATCTTAATTGGACTCTATAATTGATTGGAGATAACAATTTCTGAATGATTTGGCTCAGAATTACATTTTAATTTCAATCGAGGTATGATTCTCATCTTTGCTCTTCGATTTCAGATTATATCTAGGGCAAAACATCCATTAGCCCTTTCTTGGGTAATTCACTCAAGGATGATAATTTATACTCTTCTCTCTATTTCAGTTTTAAGATTCAGCTTTTTATTTGTGCCTTTTCATTTAATTTGATTTATTACACATATTATTAATTCAACTTCTTTTCTTAATTTTATAGGTGATAATGTTATGCTTGGAAGATATTTTTTTCCACACCAACGCCACAGGGGTATGCTAATATTATCTTCAATTTTTCTCTTTAATTTATTTGCTCAAATTTTGCATCATTTTTTTAATTGTGTTTTACTGGGATGTTAATTATTCTTTTAAATGTGAATGAGATCCTCTGACATATAATGAGAGGTAGAAAAGCTGAATGAAAACATACAAATGGCTGATTTTTAGAATTTGTAGCAACTAGAAAATGTAGACTTCAAATTGATTGTGGTTATGTCACCTGTTTATTAGGATGCGTGAGAGAGACTTCATATTTTTAGAATCCAAAGATGGTTTTGACAGTGCCGTCATATACCGGCATTGAGAGGATGGTGACAATGAAAACATTTGGAGCTGATTTAATAGTTACAGACCCAACCAAGGGCATGGGTAAAGCAGTAAGGAAAGCTTACCAGCTTCTGGAGTCTACATCAGATGCTTTTATGCTTCAGTAGTTCTTTAATCCTGCAAATACTCAACTATGTATTTTATTGATCTCTCTTTCTCTATCACCCCCTTCTTGATTGTTTGATAGTAAAAGAAAAGAAAAGAAAAGTAGCTGCCGTTTCAATGAATGGGTTGCTGCTGGAATCCCAAATACATTTCGAGACAACTGGTACTGAAATATGGGTGGACACACAGGGTAATGTGGACATTTTTGTTATGGGCATTGGACAACACCTCAAATCCCAAACCCCTAATGTTAAGATGCTTATATCCTGCTTCATCCAACACTACAAAAGTCGACGCAAATACTTCATTTGCGTCGACAAGTGGACGCTTATGTGTTGACGCAAATACCGCGATGCAAAAAGATTATTCACGTCCATTTTTGTCGACGCAAATAAAATATTATCTTTTGCGTCGCCAGTGTCGACACAGAAAGGTCATGAGTACGAAAAAAATTAAAAAGCACCATTTACGTCAACATGTCGACACTAAAGGTGTTATTTTTCTAAAAAATAAATAAATAAAACCACAATATATTACTATTTCTAAATCAAACATTAACTATGATTATTACTACTAATATTTTGAAAGAATAGCACCATTAGAATATGCATTATTACAAATAAATAAAACCACAATATAACAATATATTACTATTTCTAAATCAAACATTAACAAAAATCAATACCTACATCTTAAAATATATCTTGAAAACAAAAATGCATAACAGTACACATGTACATCACATAATATACAAGTTAAATTACTGTTTAATTGATCTTTGCATAGACCAACAACATATCGTATCCAGTAATCTTGAATGCCCCGTGTGACTATAATTCCTCCATAAAGTTATTATTTCATCAATTTGTTGTGAACTTTGAGCATTCATCCGGCCTGAAACTCTCAAATAAAACAAAAAATACCAACTTTAAAATGTATCACTACTTTATTATAACTTAGTAATAACAAGAAATCTGAAACAAAAATGTATTATCTAAGTATCACTACATTATTATATTGTGTCTACGGAAAGGGTTATATGATGTTTAGGAAATCAACATACCAACTACAAATTTGAAAGAAATCTTAAATGGTTATTTTCAGAATCCCATAAATAGTACAAATTTCAAATAATAAAAATCAAAATTAAAGGGTTACTTACTGTGCAAATTTGTTGTAGTGCAATCACATTCCTTTGATCGGTTCAGCTGGATAGGTGCTCTCAGATTTATATACTTATCAATCTATGGCCTTTTGAAAAACAGATATATATAGAATGGAGCCGCATTTTATTACTGCATAGGCACCTATACACTTGCAAGTTCTAGCCGATCACCACCTTTCCATATTTGCACCCCCACCCCCAAAGAAAGATTCTATGGAGTCACAATCTTTTTCCAACACGTACTATTTGAGACATGGGAAAAGCTTGGAGCCAAATGGATGAGCTCAATATGACTCGCACGAGAGATGGTTTGACTATTGTGTGCATGGATTAATATAATCAACGGCCGCATCCAAGAAGGGAGCATACCAAGCCGCCAAAATCTAAAGAAGTCCAAGGAGATCAATATCAAGGTACTTAACTTAGAAGGACCTAAGGGCTAAGGCCATATCATACTCAACAAGGTCCAGGATGTTGGTAAGGCCCAAAGGAAGGACATCAGACTTGTATAAACTCATCAATACCATCAATAAAGATATTGACATGAGATCTCCCATAATAGATAGCATAAGGTACTCCGCATAAGCAAGATGAGTGATGCTCAAAGAATCGTGTAGGTGATAAAAGTTAAATTTGGAATCCTTGGTCTTACGCTTCATGAACCTATAAAAGTACTCAAGATAAATGACAAAGAAAATTTGACATGGTGTCCCCTTATCAAAGCCCCTTCTTATCCATGAGAAAATTAAACAATGCCCTTTTACTAACATGAAAAAAGTACTGGTAACACACTACATGATCCATGCCACAAATAATGGGGAAATGCCCATAGTGTGAAACACACTGCCAAGAAAGTATCTGTTAGAACCGGGGGTGTTAAATAATAAATATAAGGGTATGAAATATGGATAGGGACCGTATATCACTTCTAGCCACGTATAAATACACTTTCCTAAAAGTTTACTATCTACCCTTATTACAGTAACCAGGTTACAAGATAAAACTTTTGTGATAAAAAGAAGGTGTACAATGTATTTTGGTTACTCACCGAATAACACTAAACAAGTTATATGTATCTAAAGTAGTCTAAATATTAATCACTATTACTGCAGATAATAGGATACATATAGCAAGAGAATAATTATTAAAGTTCGTCTTTAAACTTCACGTTCAACATATATTTATAGACAGCCACACACATGTTGTCTCACATCATCAATTTCATATGAAACAATGCAACTTTATGAAAAGTCATGATGGTTAAAAATTGGCGGCATTATCCTTCCCCAATTTTGAAATCAAAATAATATTTGATTATCATTTAATCATGTACGTAGGAAGTTACTATGAAAAAGCATGACTTTTGCCAATTTATTTTTTAAACAAAATTGACACACGTACATGCATCACCATCCACTCATGATGTGTAATTTTAATTATTATTATTAGTACATCAATAATTAATTTAACTAATAAGAAAAGTAATTTACATGTCTAATAATCTAATAACTAAACTTTAGTTTTATCCTTAATAATATTATTTTAATTATATTCAACAACACCTAATCAAAATAATATTATTAAGGATCATGTTGAACACTTGAGCCATATTTCTCAATAAATTCCAACGGTATCATAGGCCTTACAAAGGTCTGTTTAGATCATTCATCGAGAATATATCATTTTCCTAGTACATGTACCCTCAACAAGCTTCTGAGCAATGAAGATATCATCAAACATGAGGGTCTCTTAATAATAGAGGCTCACTGTGCCGAGTAAATTAAACAAGACTAGGGAAGCAAGGGCGCATGCGGCATGCCTACAAATAAAGATCTTCGTGATGGTCTTGTAGAAGGCATTAGTGCACGAGGTATGCTTGAAATTTGAGAGTTTAGGTGAGTAGGTGATTTCAGGACAAGAGAATCAACATAATGGTTAATTTTCTTAAGGATCCTTCTTGAATAAATAAATAAATAAATAAATAAAGACTAATATATGACTAAAAGAGTTTCTGCCACTTTTAGTCCTTGAACTATCATGTCACTAACATTTCAAATTTGATATTCGACTTTGATTTTTTTTTTTTCATTTTTAGTCTTCAACTATTGTGCTAGACACATTTTTGGTACCGTCTTTGATAATTTCCATATTTAGTTCTTCAACTTTCATAAAAGTGACATTTTTGGTCCTTCAACTATTATAGTAGTGATATATTTAATTTAGTCCTTCATTTATTGTGTCAAAATCATAGTGGAAGGACTAAAAGTGTCAATTGAATATTACTCAGGGGACCAAATGTGAGAAACTTTGAAGTTGAGGATTAAAGGTGTGTTATAGCTAGCACAATAGTCAAGGACTAAAATGGAAAAATTAATAGTCGAGTATCAAAAGTATTACTGACACAATAGTCGGGGGATCAAAAGTGACAAAAACTCTGACTAAAATAAGGCCGATAATGGATAAAATATACCTTTCTCTATATAGTAGCCATATAGTAACTCTCAATGACTATTATAATATTCAAGGTAATACTATCAAATAAGTCCTCTTACTATTGCATAAAATTCAATTGAGTCCTCATACTTTCAAATTAGCTAATCAAATTCTCCAGCTACAAAAACATCCAATTTCATTTTTCAGCTACAACCATCTTACACTAATTTTTCTTTTTTGGAAGCATGTGACATATGCTCACTGATGGTCCCGGATAGAGGTAAAAGTCTAGAGGGGGGGGGGGGTGAATAGACTTTTAAATCTTTTTCAACTTTATGAAGTTTTCCCTCTAGATGAGTTGATCTATAATCTTTTAAGAGATTAATAGATGCACAGCGGAAGTCTTTAACCTCTTTATACTTGGTGTGAGATAACTTTCTAGTTTAGATGATGTTTAGACTGGTGACAAGAGGAAGTAGGCTTGGCAGTAGACTGGTGAGCAGATAACTGCTTAGTCTACTGCTGCACAGGCAGTTTGCTGACTGGCAGGCAACTGCTGAGTTGGCAGTCGGCTGGTGGGCAGGTTACTGCTGAGGCAACTGTTAAGAACAGGATGACTCTTGGATGGCTTTTTGTTCTGGCTTGTTATGGCGTTCGGAAAGACACATATAAATGGGCAGTGGGCTCAGCAGGAGGGTGAAGACCAGGGTACTGCTGAGGCACCTTCTGAGTGTAAGATAACTTCTAGTGGAAAACACTCTCAAGGAGAGTGAGTTATTAAGCAGTAGGCTAAGCAGTACAGTCGATGAAGACTACTGCTTAGGATGCTGCTGGCAAACTACAATCCTTTAGTGAGATGTGTTTGGTGTGTGCTTCTGTATGTATGAAAGTAAATCAACACACGATATATCCTGGTTCAGAGGTGGTGTAATCCTCCTACATCCAGTCCCACCCTATTTCAGATGGATTTCCACTAAAGTATTCAGCCCAATACAATTAGTGCCAATCTAGCCTTGACAACTCTGGCCTAGATTGAAGGTTTTTCACGATGAGTATAACACCACTCAAAGTTACTCAGTCCTTAGACTTTTCTCAATTGATCCAGTGGGGATCAAAAGGTACTCTATCTATCTAACCACACTTTAGGATCCGAACAACTGTTCTCCTAAGTGTTTACAACAACATGAATTGATTCACGAAGTGTCTAACCGCCAACTAAAACCTAAGCTCTATAAATGTTACAATGAATGATCTAGTCTAAGAGCTTAGTGAAGCATGAGTCAAAGCAGAGTGTTCAAGCACTTTTTCCTTTGCTGGATATGCGTAGTGTAATGACTGAACCACTTGCTTTGAACTCAATGACTTACTTTTGATCTCATGCTTCTGCCTATTTTTATAGGCATCTCCAGCAGATTAATCTCCTCCGTTGGTTAAGAGGATTTAATCCTAGACGTCCAAAGTATTGTACTTGCGTCTTCTTGTGTTGGAGCAGGATAAGGATTTGTCTTTTGAAGACCACTTGCTTTGTACGAAGATAACACCCATACCTTAGGCCTTCTTATCGCTGCATGCCTATTCTGAAACTCTTCACTATTCACCTAATCAGATGTCTTCTCTCCTCTTGCGTTCTTGTCTTGCAACTACACTTGTAAAGCTGAGTGCGTGAACCTGCTCAATTTGTGTAGTGAAGTAGTAAAATGTGTGACTTAGAATATTTTGTATCAAATAAATTTTGTACTGGTAGGATCTTTGAAATATCCTATTAAGGTAATGAGATTACCTTATTGCATTTTGTTCTTTCCAGTACAATTTATTTGGTACAAATTTCACAGTAAAATTTGTCACTTATTTTACTAATCACTTTCTTTCTTTAAGTGACATGATTAAACTTATGTACCAAATTAAAGCTATACTGGTTGGATCTAAATATCCACGTAAGGTAAATAATTTTTACCTTATTGCATTTTATAGTTCCAGTATGTTTAATCTGATACATAGTTTGTACATTGGAATTCTTGTCACTTTTAAGTACTTGTGTAGTTTAGCAGGTATTGTGGACAACTTAACTGGTAGGATAACAAATCCTATTAAGGTAAAAGTTATTACCTTATTGCATTTTGTGTTCCAGTTAGTTGTTCACTATTCTTGTTCACTTTGATTTATATATCAAATAACACTTTACTGGTTGGATTTAAATATCCAATTTCAAGATAAAGACAACTTTACCTTATTTCATTTTGAATCCCAGTGTGTTCTTTTTGTTATATAGAATCTACATTGTTATTTGTTGTAGTGAACAGAATATCAAGAACTCTTCTTCTGAGTGTATGGTTTATCTAGTATTTCGAACATGATAAGCTAAATATTTAACTGGTAGGATATCAACTCCTATTAAGGTAAAATTACCTTATTGCATTTTGTTTTCCAGTTAAAATAAATAGTTTATTTGTACGAGATGTTATTGTGTGTAACAAATAAATTTAACTGGTTGGATTTATATGATATCCTTTTAAGGCAATACAATATTGCCTTATTGCATTTTATGGTTTTCCAGTCATATTTATTTGTTAATTGTATAAAAGGAGCACGACACATCTAGATAATTTTCTTAGTACTAGACAACTGCAAGATGTTACAAAAGAGGATAACAAAGACTCCTATAATAATACTACAATAGAGGGGGGATAACAAAAGCTTTTGGCATCATCAAAAACAGTTCATCAAAATCTGGGGTCTAACAATTTCCCCCTTTTGTGATGATGCCAAAAGAAGAGTCCTAATCACTAAAACTCTCTTTCCCCCTCTTTTGGTAGCATCCACAAATTACTCGGTCCTTCTCCTTCTGCTTGATGATTCTCCTTGGGCAAAGTTGGAGAGCCTCTTCTGCATCCTTTGATGATCCTTCTCTCTGAGATTCTTCATTTTCTCGTAGAAGACTCGCCAAATTCCAGAGATGTTCATGGCAGTTTCCACATTTGGGGCTTGAAGCCATTGAAGAACAAATTGTTCTTCAACTCTGATAAAAGCAGTGGCTTGAGAGAGCATGTCAATAGGAGCCGATCTCCATTTTCTCCAGTTGAGGACTCTTGTGAGTTGGTTTTCGAGAGCTTCCTTTTCTTTGAGAGACTGGATTCTTAAATTTAAGAATTCTTCTTGATCCAACTGTTGTGGAGTAGGTTGTTGTGTGGAGGAAGGTTGGGCTAGTGAGAGGTTCAGGAATGGTTCAAAAGGCTTGTTGTTGGAGTTGTTATCGGCCATTTTTGAAGTAGAGGAGCTTTGAGAAAGATTAAGGAAGAATAAGAA